GACACCCCTACCCCAGCTTTTAACTTTTGGCTTAAAATAAGTTTTTTTAACTTAAAATAAGCTATTTTTAATATTGCCAAACAGTTAAATAAGTCAAAAACCAGCTTTTAAGTCGGTTTGACCAGCTTTTAAGCTGAGCCAAACAGGCTCTTAGTTACAGGAATATGAGTATAAACTGTAAGTAATAACGTGTGTTTGACGGTAGTCTAAAGCTAAGTCGCACGAACTCTTCACTTTTAATATCGCTTCTGTGTAGGAATCTCCAAAAATACACTATTTTTGACTAATCCGACATGCAGAAATTTTGTACACTAACACTACAATTATTCAAATGAGGAACCTAGGATTTGCTGGACTGTCCCTCATCTAGCAAATTCCCCATGAAAATTTTAGCTATTTCTTTTTAATTTCTAATACAAAAAGATTAGAATAATTCGATCAGTGGAGAAATGTCAAATGCATTAGGGAAAAATTGATAAGATTGGCTAACAATCAATGAGCGTCTCGATCCCACCAACATTTGGCAATTTAAAATCCTTGCAATGGAGGTAATCGATCATTTTTTTTTCATTTACAATATATCTCTATTCAACATTTCTAGTCTTTATATATATACTAATTTCTGAACACACACTTTGTGTGTATATCTCCTATCATTGACTACTTAAGTTTAAAAATTCATATGAATATTTGTATGTACTATATTTGAGTTGTGAAATATCTTAATGTTGATCTTATATTCAGATAACTCAATGAAAAAAAAGTTTTCGTCCCATGAAAACCCTCAAATACCTTTTAGTAATTTTGGTTTTTGCCTCGATGCATTATTTGAATTTCTACCTTTGGCTCTAATTACTAAAATAATTTCATTGTCTTCTTAGTTCTTTTATAACTCATAGCAATTCATAAAAAATCATTTTAATTTTGCTAATAATTACATTATAATTTTACTTAGAAATTTGATAAAAATAAATGTCAAAAGATATTAAGAGAGAAAAATCTTAATTCAAAGTTTAAATAAATTCAAATATATATGACTGTTATTGAAATATTATCAACACACATGGTGACACACTTGCACTCATTAACACAATAATAATTCAAAGTTTAAATAAATTCAAATATATATGACTATTATTGAAATATTATCAACACACATGGTGACACACTTGCACTCATTAACACAATAATAATCCTTTATATATATATATATATATATATATATATATATATATATTAAGGAATAGATGAAAAATTTATACAAAGTAACAGAGAAAAATGAGCATACGCTATATATCAACTACTTTACTCTATTGTTTATTCAAAAATAGTTCTACTTTTATAAGTTCATTAAACTATATTTGTTTCGTACAAATTTAAAAGAGAAGATGGTCAAATGTCCCCTTGATGTATATCGAATTTTCAACTACACACTAAAATTTCACAAGAGTCCTATCACCCGTGTACTATTTCAAACTGAAATAATTACCTCCATGAAAACTTAGTTGACATAGTGAGTGTATTTCACTCTCTTTGGGAGAGTGAGCATCAAAATCACTATTAATTTTTTTAATACCTCTTTTCAGTAAATATGTAAATTCTTAATTACTTGTTTTTCGTATTTTGTTTTCAATTCTCCATCAATATAAAAAAAAAATTCTCAATCATTCACCACCTCTAAGTTTTGTTGCCACCACCATTTTCACTGAATTCACTATTGTTGATTCCAAACAAATTTTCAAACTCATATAAAACTATACAAAAACAATCAAACTAAATCAATTGAGATAAATTTACATATATTTATATCACCTCATAAGACAAATCAATATGGGTTTACTTTGAATCCAATTGGACCAATCGAAAAAAAATATTTTTTTACTAATTGACCTTTAATTATCAATAACAAATATCAATCAATTATCTATATCTAAAGTATTGTCACTATTAATCTTTTTAATCTATCAACTGTTATAGAATCATTCTCTTCCTCTTTGAAATTGTCGTCGCCATAGATGATAATGTGGAAGAAATTATAGGCACCTCCTCCTCGTCTTCCTTGACAAGATTGCTTTTCTTCGGTGACCACCATTAATGAAAATAAGGAAACCTTACCCCTAGAACAAGAACCAGGTTCTTGTAATTTTATCGTAACACAATAAAACAAAGATTTATCATGGAAACCTTCCTAACTCAGGGAAAAACCACACCAAAGTTTTATATTAGTTCAAGATTTACAACTCAGTTAATCAATGAATCTAACTCTAAACTTCTACCCTTTTCGATTAACTATAATCGAAAAATCTCCACTCAACATGAAGTCAGACTCGCTTCTTGTTTACAAAAGCTCTCAACTCTTTTTAACTCTAACCACCCAAGAAGTCAAACCCACTTCTTGTTTACAATTCTCACAACATCTCTCCCAAGAAGTCAAATCTACTTCTTGTTACAATTCCCTCAAGAACTCAACTCCCAAGAAGTCAAACCCACTTCTTGTTACAAATCTAGGAATTATTGTTTGTCAATCTGTGTTATGAAAATCAGAAATTACCGGTTGTAATAAATCATTCAGAAACACGAAGTAACTGAGATTTTTAGAACCAGTAAGTAAGATGAACAGAAATTTATTTGTAAAAAATAATTGAATCTGTAAAAACTTACCAAAATCTGGAATACTCTTTTTAATTTTGGAAGAAAATCAAGTCCACTGAATTCACAGTGTCCCCTTAAGGAAATTATTCCCCTCTAGTATCCGAGTTTGATTTAGAATATAACCTCCCAAGGTAAAATGATCTTAATCAGTAGAGTGTAGATACCAAAAACTCTACTGTCATTGAATCAATCCACAACAGGAAAGTACACGAAGAAATATGTGTTTTGAAGAAGAAGGAAGATCAGAAAATTCATAGGTAAATATTCTGAAGAATGAATGGTATTTATAGGCAAGAAGAATATATTTATAGGCAAGAAGAATATATTCAATCGATCATTTGCCAAAGCCAAAGCCAAAGCCGAAGCCGAAGCCGTAGCCGTAGCTGAAGCCGAAGCGAGCGAGCCACGACGACGACGGCGCAAGGGGGGTCCCTCTTTCTAACCCTTTTAACAATTAATAGGAGTGTTTATTTATTTAAACTCTCCTATTTTCATTTCCATTACCGATGAGGGACAATTGCCTTTTTCATTAAAGCATTAGAAGACTTTTCAAGTTCCCAACCTTTCAAGTTCTAAACTTTTTGAATTACTCTCCTTCCCTCTATTTCCCATCAATTCTTGCTACATACCCAACAATCCCCCACATTGATGGGGAATAATTATAACATAGGAATGCACGGACCATTGTGTACTTTACAAGCAAGGACTAATTGCATCTGGATAAGTAGTGAACATATGTCGGACTTTCTGTAGTGAACATATGTCGGATATACTCGGTCAATCGGTAGATGTGATATCTTTGAATTGTAGAGTTTTGGTGTATACCTAGACAACCATATGTCACACAATTAACCCTTTGCTGTTTATGATTCTTACGGTTGTATTCGTTTCAGCCATGAACACCTCCTGGTTTCATGAGTGTATAGAGAATAGACTTTTGACATAAAATTCTCTTTGAAGCGGCTTCCACTTCACACTCACATAAGTGATTTCTAACCGTGTCATCTCGTAGATACACTATTTAGTCAAATCTACCAAACTTAGCAAATCATTAAAAACATTAAGCTTTATTACCTCATTAACAAGCCTTAAAGTCTTAACCTTTTCCTGAACATTGTCTTCATCATGAGAATGGATTGAGTTAATTGACAATGTCAAACCGTCAGCCATAACTTTGTTTTTCTCCTTGAATCTAGGTCTTGGGATCTCCAGTCTGCTAGATAGAGTTATCGTCATGCTGACTTGTCCTAAGCCGTAAACCCATTCCCTTAGATGATCTTTCAACTGCCTCTCTCACTAGGCCTTTCGTTAGTGGATCTGACACATTATCGCTTGACTTTACATAGTCAATTATGATATTCCACTAGAGAGCAGTTGTCTTACGGTGTTATGTCTCCATCGTATATGACGAGACTTCCCGTTGTACATAACGCTCCTTGCCCTACCTATTGCTGCTTGACTATCGCAATGTATGCAAATTGGTCCAACAGGTTTGGGCAAGAATGGAATATCCTCCAGGAAATTCCGGAGCCATCTCTTCTTCACCAGCCATATCGAAAGCAATGAATTCAGATTCCATTGTGGAGCGAGCAATACATGTCTATTTGGAAAATTTCCAAGAGACAACTCCTCCACCAAGTATGAATACATAACCACTCGTGGATTTTACATCATTTGACCCGGTGATCCAATTTGCATCACTATATCCTTTAGCCACAGCAGGATATTTATTATAATGCAAAGCATAATGTTGTGTCCATTTTAGATAACCCAACACACGTTTCATAGACATCCAGCGAGTTTGATTCGGATTAGTAGTGTACCGAATTTGGATTAGTAGTGTACCGACTCACTTTAC